TCACCCCTTTGAAGTGCATAATCCGATGGTTCCAGGGAGGTGGGCCTTGTTGGTCACTAGCCCCTGCACCCTGCTCTTAGACTGGACTTGCCAGCCCTGGCTTCCCTTCTGGTGTCTTGTGTGGCTCCCGCTGGCCTGGTTCCAGTCACAGCCAGGGATGATGCCCACGATGCCAGGGGGTTCTCACGCTCTGCCTGGAACGGCTCTCCACAGCCCTTGGCCGTGGGTGTTTTGGTCCCTTGGGACAGGCTGGGGGTTGCTGGGGGGGACAGGGTCAGACCATACATGAGGGATAGCGGTGGGGCCTGAGCACATTCTGCTGCTTCCCAGAACCTAGCAGGTGCTCAAGAAAGGCTCGTGGAAACATTAGTAGCCAACACTTAAGAGCGCCCGATTTTGCGCCAGGAGCTATGAAATGTCTTGTCTATTCATTCATCTTCTCATGTGATCCTCTCAAGAACCACGACAATTAAGTGTAAATGTTACCCCAGGGAGGCTCAGGGAGGTTAAGTAACTTGCCTAGGGTCACACAGTAAACAGGAGAATAAGGGAAAAAAGGAACGAGGTGTGCCGCCCTGCAGCCACAGGTTCCCCAGCCCGTCCAGGCTCTCTCTGCAGCTGCCAGGGCCCCTCCCTCTGCCCCAAGGATGCCAGTCGGGCACATTAGGAGAGTGCAAATGAAGGAGCCCTGCAGGGTGGGGATGGGGGCATAGACATGAGGACCTGGTGCGGGGGCCTCGGTGGGCCGAAGAGCCCTGCAGGCTGAGGGCGTCCTGGAGGAGGCTGTCAGGGTCCCACTGATATTTTCATCCTGTAACCTTTCTCCTTATCAGGTAACTTTCTGCCAGGCCCTCCCAGCGATCACAGAGCAGCCCGGAGTTGCCAGACCTGTTCCCAGGCCAGCTGTGCCAGGTCGGGTGAGGCAGCTGCCGGAGGTGCCGATGTGTAAACCAGGAGGAGGCCAGACTAGCTGGAGCTTCGGTTAGGTCAGCCCGGGTGCCACTCCACTGCCAGACGTGGGCCCGCGGCATCTGGTGGGGGGCTGCGCAGGCTCCTGGGAGGATTGGCCGTCAGCAGAGGCAGGGGTGAGATGGGCCAGGAGCAGAGTCGGCACATGTGAAGGCAGCATGTCAGGCGAAAGGATCCAGGGTCGGAGCCCACACCTGCGGGGTACCTGGGGTCCCGGGGTGAGGGCCAGCAGCACGAGCTGTGGGGAGAGGAATGGGATGTGAGGCCACAGGGTGGGGGGCCATGGTCCTGGGGCCTGGCTCAGCGCAGGGAGGTGGGTGCTGCCCTGCCCCAGCTGTGCACGTAACCTCCGGCCCGTCATGCTGTCTAAGCCTCACTCCCCCCGCCCCCCCGCAACCCCTGTGACACCCAGGAGTACCCTCGGAGGAGCCGTCCATCCCTGGCCTCTGCTGGCCTGGCCGCGGGGGTAGAGGCAGACCCTGTCCTCCCTTGAGAGGCTCCCCAGGCTGGGGGAGGAGGTGACGTGTGGACAGACGGGGGCCAGCCAGGCGTGGCCCGGGCTGTGATTGGGATGTGCCGGGGAGTTGGGACGAGGGAAGCTTCTTCGGAGGTTGTAGAAGCAACACTCACTGTTCATTTCTGATTCTGGAAGCATTGGATGCTCACTGTAGAAAATTTGGAAGCTGCAGAAAGATGCTGAGAAGTCAAAAAAAGTGCAGGGCACTCATTGATGCTGGTGAGGAAGGGGCTGCAGGGCCACCAGACCTGGGACTGAAGCCACCACGTAGCAGCTGTGAGGAGGGCAAATCGGATCACCTCTCAGAGCCTCGGGTTGCTCTTTCTTACAACGAGGTAACAAAAAGACCTTTGAGGCTTAAATGAGACGATGCACGCTGAGCGCTGGGCCCCAGGCGCCAGCTCTGCTTCCCCTCCCGCCTGTGTTCTTGTGCCCACAGAATAGATCCCACATCCCTATGTGAAGGTCCTGTCAGGCTGCTGACCTGCCCAGTTGCACCTTGTTTCTCTAAATCTGCCCCCACAGGGCCTTTGCTTGTGCCGGCCCCTCTGTCCCGACGCCTGCCCTCCGAGGGCCCTGCCCTGCCCCTTTCCCACTGCAGTCGGGGCCTCTGCTGGGTCTCCAGCCGGCCTCTCCCAGGGCCTGCGGCACCAATTCATTTATTTGTTTTTGTTTTGTTTTGTTTTTAGTATTTATTTATTTGGCTGCGCCAGGTCTTAGTTGCTGCACACAGAATCTTTTAGTGGCAGCATGAGGGATCTAATTCCCTGACCAAGGAGTGAACCCGGCCCCCTGCATTGGTAGCACAGAGTCTTAACCACTGGACCACCAAGGAAACCCCACCAGCTCATGTTTATAATTATCTTGTTTTCAGTGTCATTATTGTTCCATGTCTAGACCGTGAGCTCTGCACAGGCTGGCTAGGTCTGCCGTGGTCACCTCTGTGGCCCAGGTCCAGCCAGGCCCTGCCTGGTCAGCAGCCAGGGTCCCTAGTCAGCCCCACCTCAACGAGCACCTGGGATAAGGAGCAAGGGCCAGCCGTCCCGCTCCAGGGCCCCTGGGGATGCGGCCGACCTCAGCCCCATTCAGCCGTCTGCCTCCTCATTTGACTGGGCAATGGTGGGGCTGGGATTTGGCCATGCACAAGCTAAGCCTGAGGCTGTCCCCAGGCACTCCAGGTGTGCACAGTGAGGACACAGACAGTGACAGTGGAGAAAGTCAGGGAACCCCTGCCCTGCTTGCCTCACCTGGGAAACGTATGATTGAGCTGGGGCCACGGTCCCTCGACAGACCTCAGGACACCTGGGTGCCATAGCTCACCCCAGACTCCTCCACTCTGGGCCTTGATTCAGCCCTACAGAGGCTCTAGGGAGCCATGGACAAAGTTAGAGCAGGGCTGATCGGACCACGAGCCACTTGAACCCAGCAGGGAAAGCCAGGTGAGAAAGGTGATGCTGGCACTGCAGGCAGAGCTCTGGTTCAGCCTTGCAACTTGGAGGCCTGAAGGGGCTCCAGGCAACCCTGGACTGAGGGTGGGCACTGCCAGTGGTCAGAGTTGGGCCCAAAGCAGCCCCAGCCAGGCACAGCTCCTCCAGGACGCACTCGGGAGGAAACGGCCCCCTGCCCCTCTTGGCCCGGAGCCTGGGCCTAGGACTGACTTCCCTCTGCCCCTCTGCAATCTGGGGCAGGGGTCTAGGTGGGGCCACCCCTGGGCCCGGCTGTGGGTGGGCACAGCTTGGGGCCCGTTCCAGCCCAAGACATGGTGGACAAGTTCTTACTGAACACCTACTGTGGGCCACGTCCTCCCCCAGGCCGTGGGATGGGGGGAGGGGATGGACAGTGCCGGGAATGAGGGCCTCACTGCCAGGCGGAGGGAGGTCGTTCTGCAGGTGTTGCCCAGGAACATGCCCAGTCTCTGTTCCTATCTCCCCATACTCCTCAGCTTGGGTGGCCCCCTGAGCCGGGCACCAGTGCTTTCCCCGTCTTATGGTTCCTAAGAATAATAACCTCAGCGGCCAGGCCTGTGCTGTACATGCCCATGGAGGAGTGTTGTCCCCACTTCCCAGATGAGGAGACTGAGGTTCAGACGGGAGGAGGGGGAGGTGCCGATGGGGCCCCTGGCCCACAAGGCGCCCACGGGGGACGTTGAGACCCATCTCACTCCATGGCCAACGCTCTGAGGCAGAGGTCCTGGGCTCAGGCCTGTGGGATGCTGCTGGACTCTGAGGACGACTCACGTCCACACACAGAGAAAGAGAGACAGAGGGACAGAGACGCAGAGAGACAAACAGACAGACAGAGACGCAGAGGCACAGGCAATGGTACGGTTTCGTGGCCCCAGCTGGGGTGCTCAGAGCGCTTCCTTGCTCAAGGTCCAGGCAGTCCCCCCCCAGAGGCCCTGCTGGGCTCCTTCTTCCCACCCCCATACCCCATCCCTCTCCACTCTCAGCCCCACTGGGGCTCCCTTGGGCGTCAGGCCAAAGCCCAGATGGGCTCCAGGCCGCAGTCAGCCGTGCCGCAGGCCTTCCCATGGACGCCCCGCCAGGGTGAGCCCGCGGGCCAGGCGGGGGCAATTCCAGGGCAGCTCAGGCCCAGGGAGAGTCGCTGACTTTCTCGGGACCTCTGTCTCCTTGTGGGGACTCCACTGCACAGGCAGCTCGAGGACTCTGGGGGAGTGGGCTTTGGGGTGATCCTCGGTGGGGCCTCACTGTCCCAAACTCCAGCTCATGCCGCTGGACTCGGCCTTCATCCGGAAGGAGCCCTTGGGCCCGGGGCACATCATCGCCCCCTGGAACTACCTCCGTACCTATCCCTGGTGCCCCTGGTGGGCGCCCTCGCGGCAGGTGATAGAGAGCCTCCTCCATCCTGCCCCCTGCCAGTCCCCCCAGACTCGTGGCCTCACAGCCGCCCACAGAGACAGGAAAGAGGGGCACCAGGTGGCTAAGAAGGCCTGGTTCCCATCTGGCCCACCATCCCCAGGCTGTGTGACCTTGGGGCCGGCAGGGCACCTCTCTGTACCATATTCTTCCCCTGAAGGTGGAGTAAGGCCGGCACCTGCCCTGCTGGTGTGAGGACTGAATGGAGACGGGGAGTGGCTACAACTGGCCGCCCCCTCTCCCCGCCCCACCCCGCCCTGCCCCACCCCCCTCTCCTCTCCCCGCCCCGCCCTGCCCCTCAGGGAACTGCGCGCTGGAGGTCAGCGAGAGCACTGAGAAGGTCCTGGCCGAGGTGCTGCCCCGATACCTGGCCCAGGTGAGGGTGGGCCTGCTCCTTCAGTATCTGCGTCCCACACCCGCACCCCTGCCGGCAGGAGGTCCTGCAGTGTCCCCTGAGCCGTCTGGCCCCCCTTGCAGAGCTGCTTTGCCGTGGTGCTGGGCGGGCCCGAGGAGACGGGGCAGCTGCTGGAGCACAAGTTTGACTACATCCTCTTCACAAGTGAGGGTGGCCCCGGCCAGTGTCCTGGGGGAGAGGGACATTGAGAACGGGATGGAGAAGGCCGTGGAAGGAGGAAGTGGTGGCCAGTGGGGTGAAGCATCCCAGGTGGCAATCAACCCAGGCAGGCGGGCCTGGCACGGTGGGATCCGGGGGCAGCAGGGCAGGGGGCATAACCCAGTGGGTGAGCCAGGATGGGCTGGGAAGGTGGTGCCTGAACAATCTGGCCAAGGGCAGTTGAGGCTTGGGGTCAACTCTCATGTCCCCAGGGGGCCCCCGAGTAGGCAAGGTCGTCATGGCTGCTGCCGCCAAGCACCTGACGCCCGTCACGCTGGAGCTGGGGGGCAAGAACCCCTGCCACGTGGACGACAACTGCGACCCCCAGACCGTGGCCAACCGTGTGGCCTTCTTCCACTATTTCAACTCCGGCCAGACCTGCGTGGCCCCCGACTATATCCTGTGCAGCCCCGAAATGCAGGCTCGACTGCTGCCCGCCCTGCAGAGCGCCACCACCCGCTTCTACGGCGAAGACCCCCAGAGCTCCCCAGACCTGGGCCGCGTCATCAGTGAGAAGAATTTCCTGCGGCTCCGGCGCCTGCTGAGCTGTGGCCGCGTGGCCATCGGGGGCCAGAGTGATGAAAGCGATCGCTACATCGGTGAGTCCCGCCCTCCCTGCCACTGTGCCCGACTCCCAGCCCACCCCAGCTAAGGCCCCTCCACGCTGGGGGCCACAGCTGGGCCCCGAGTCTGGGCCCAGCCTGTAACCTCGGGCCCTGAGGCTCCCCGACCCCACTGCTAGAGCCCAGCCTGGTCCACGGCTCTGGTGCCACGATTCTGTGACACCAGTGTTCCGCGTTGCCGTGTCTGAGCCTGTGACCCCACGACTCAGCCCTCTGGCCCAGGCTCTGGATTCTCCAAGCTCAGACCCCAGAGTTCTAGGGCTCAGGTTCCAAACTTCAGCCCCAAGATCTGCTGCTCCACGGGGCCATGACCCCAGGTCCTATGAGCCCACGATTCCTGGTTCTGAATTTCAACAGCCCGTCCTGAGCACCCGCTACGCTGTGAACAAAGCAGCCCCAGTCTCCCGGGCCGAACGGCTCAGAGGGTGACGCTGCTCCCCAGCAGGCTGGGACCCGGGACCTCAGGTCCGGTCACCCTCTGACTGTAAGACCAAGGCTGAGGGGCTCTCTGGGCCCCACGGGCCCCGGTCAGGCTGGGGAGCCCCTCAAGGTCACTTCCTGGGGGCTGTGGGGAGATCACCTTCCCCAGAACGTCCCTGAGCCTGGAGCCCTGGGTCCCGGGGCCCTGCCTGCCCGAGGCCCCACCCGTGGGGCTGAGCCGTGCCCTGTGCCCGGGCAGCTCCCACGGTGCTGGTGGGCGTGCAGGAGACGGAGCCGGTGATGCGGGAGGAATTCTTTGGGTCCATCCTGTCCATCATGAACGTGAGGAGCCTGGACGAGGCCATCGAGTTCATCCGCCGTCGGGAGAAGCCCCTGGTCCTGTACGCCTTCTCCAACAGCAGCCAGGTGGGGCTGGACAGAGGTGGGAGCAACAGAGGGGCCCAAAAGGGTGAGACCGGTCACCTCCCCTTTCCCGGCCCACTTGTGAGGGTTAGCGCAGCAGGTGCCTCCAGTGTGACTATAATCCAGGCCACTGGACAACGGCTCCCTGCACACAGGTGCCTGGCAGAGACGGGGCGGGGGGGGGGGGGGCAGCGTCAAGAAGCTGGCAACACGTGGCTGGCCAACTGTCGTCTGCCCTGGCCAGGGCAGCTCCCGCCCGGACGAGGAGGTGCTCTCTCTATCTGTCCTGCCCCGGGGCGGCCCTCTTGTCCTCAGTCATGCAAAAGTTCTGTGTGGGCGAGCAGAGCCCCTGGAGGGGGAGGGGGCAGAGCAAAGGTGGGACCCGGCAGGCAGAGCCAGGCTGGCCGCCATGGAGCCTGTGCACTGCTGCTGCTGTGACTCTCGGTGCCGCTTCTCAGGGCCACGGACTCCCCTCTGTGAGCTCAGAGGGGCGACACTCACTGGATCAGCAGCGGCCCCTTTGGAGGCAAGGAGGGCTTCATCTACCGGACTCTGCCGTCCCTGCCACTAGGGGGAGTCGTTGAGCCCTGCCCTCCTTCACCCTCCAGCCCCCAACTCCCAGGGAAGCTCAGGTTGGCACCCCAGACCCAGGAAGGCCCAGTTTTGCCTTCCCTCACTGTTGATCCAGGCCCCAGGCCTCTCAAGGCCTCAGTTTCCTTATCTGCAAAATGGCTCTTAGAATGGCCTGGCTTTCCCTGAGCTCCCTGCTGGGCGGTGGGCTGCCGCTGAACGGGCCCTCACTTCCGTGCCCATGCAGACAACAGCAGAATGGGCAGCTACCACAGCAAGTTCTCCTTCGATGCCTTCTCCCACCACCGCGCCTGCCTGCTCTCCCCCTCGGGCCTGGAGAAGCTCAAGGACATCCGCTACTCGCCCTTTTCTGCCTGCAAACAGCAGCTGCTCAGCTGGGCCTTGGGCAACCAGCGCTGCATCCTTCTGTGAGCACCCTGTCCATCTCCAGTGCCCCATCCCCACGACCCCCCTGTCCTGCTGTTTCCCAGGTGCTCAGTGGCCCCCCAAAGGCTGGTGTCCTGTCCAGGAACACAAAGATCCTGCTCCTGGGGCTTTGTCTGAACAGACCCCTGGCTGGGCAGGACCTCTGGGACATTAGTCCAGCCCCTTTCAGGGCCAAAGTCCTCTCTGCAGCCTCCTGACAGATTTGTTGACCCTCTGCTTGAACATATCTGATGACAGAGAACTTACCCCCAAGGTTGGGCAGCTCTGGTGGTTAGAAAAGACTCCCTCACGTCAGATCTATAAATAAGCTCCCAAAATACAGAGTGATTTCTAACAGCTCCAGTCACACCTGGTTTGGGGAACTGGGTTTGTCTGACCTGAAGTGATCTGATCTTGAACTCAGGTCTGGCCAGTCGCTGGTGTTGGCCTGAAGTGCGTTATTTACAAGGACTCTGATGGTGTGTGTGGAATCGATAGGAAGGAGTGCAATGGTTGATTAGTGATGTCTGCTATGGGCACAGGAGGGGGTTGTGCTCATGCTGGCCACATCGTCATCCCTGCTCTAATCTCACAGAGAGGAGAGGTCAGGGCGGGCAGAATCTAAATCTGGTCTCTTCGTCTGACACATGGGAAAACAGATTTAGAGCCAGGATAGGGCTGAACTGAGTTTATACGGTAAAGCAGGGCAGAGCTGAGTGACAGTGGGATTTATGGTCTCGTGGCCCTCCTCTGGCTCACACAGAACCCTACCCGTCCCTGCAGTAGCTCCATCACCTGGAAAGCTTGGGTTTGCGTCAGTCCATGGCCATATTGTTACTGGGTGCCTTTGGGCGTGCCCCTTAACTTCTCTGAGCCTTACCTTGTAGAATGGGGTTCCCACCTCCCTCCTACAGTTGGTGTGAGTGTTAAATGGAATCATATGTGTCTGGGGCCCAGGGGCCCCCACCCCAGACATAGTAGAGTCCAGACTCTCATGTAAGTTAAGCCAGCATTGGGCAGAGGTACTGGCTGCCGAGGTGCCCCTGGCCACACACCTCCCAGAGCTTCCCAGGGCTCTGTCACAGTCACAGTTTTTGTGACAGCAGCCTCTGCTTGTCCAGCAATCAGGGCACGCTGCTGTCCCAAGGCTTGGGGGTGGTCCCAGGGTCCCTTAGATGCTGGTTCCACCCTGGGAACAGGCCACAGTCCAGAGTGGGTCATTAAGAAAAACAACAATATGGGGTGATTCCTCCTCCCACCCCCACCCCAGGACACTAGGCCGGCAAGAAGGAGTGGGAAGGGTGGTCCCGCGGGGCATAAAGGAACACCTGATATGAGGGCGCTGTGAAAGGCTGACAGGAGGGGGTGAGCAGAGGCCAAAGTGGGACTCAGAACCCGGTCAGGATGGCAGAGGGACAGGCAGGGGCTCCAAAGCCCCTGGACAGGGACTTCCCTGGCAGTCCAGTGGTTAAGACTCCATGCTTCCACTGCAAGGGGCGCAGGTTTGATCCCTGGTTGGGGAACTAAGATTCCGCATGTCACGGTGTGGCCAAAACCAACAGTAGCGGCAACAACAAAAAACAAAGTGGCCCTTGGGTGTGGATCCCAGGTCACGTGGCTCTCCTGAGCCAAGACTTACAATTTTGTGGGATGGTTCAGGTTCTGACCCCGCTCTGGGCCTCAGTTTCCTCAACTGCAGTGAAGAAGTTGGACCTTTGGATACTCACGATGCCTCTGCCCTCCATCAGGCCAGGGTCTGCTGTGCATGTGTCCGTTCTCCAAGCTTGCACCTGCCCCTTTGCTCCCTCACTCCTCACAGCTGCCCGGACCCAGGAGGGAGCCTCATTCCCATTTCACAGGCAGGAGCCAAGGCCCAGAGAGGGCACTGACTCCCCAAGTCACACAGCTTGTCAGGGAGGGGTGTCAGAGCCAGTGGGGGCTGGGGGCCCCCTCTACTTCCTGGGGCTCAGAGGTGTGACTCAGCAGGCCCACCTCCAGGCTGTTCTCACTGCTGTGGCTCACACACACGTTGGTACACGCAGCACAGACGTGAATACACAAATCCTCAGACACCAGCGCACACACGCACGAGCTTGCACACTCAGTTGGGATTGGGGGCTGCTGTTCCTGGGAGCTCTTGCCCTGGCTCCCAGATGCCCTTCCATTCTATAAACACTTTCTGAGGGTATGGAGAAAAGGGGAGCCTCCTATACTTTCTGTGGGAATATAAGTCAGTGCAGCCACTATGGAGAACAGTATGGAGATTACTTAAAGAAACTAAAAATAGAGTTACCATATGATGTAGCAATCCCACTCCTGGGCATATATCTGGAGAAAACTTTAATTCAAACAAATATATGCACCCCAATGTTTGTAGTGGTATTATTTACAATAGCCAAGACATGGAAGCAACCTAAATGTCCAACGACAGATGAATGGATAAGGAATGTACAATGTAATGTACAAATGTACAATGGAATATTACTCAGCCATAAAAAGAATGAAATAATGCCATTTGCAGCAACATGGATGGACCTAGAGATGATCACACGAAGTGAAGTAAGTCAGAGAAAGGCGAATATTATATGATATCACTTATATGTGGAATCTAAAAATTAGTACAAATGAACTTATTTACAAAACAGAAGCAGATTCACAGACATAGAAAACAAATTTATGGGGACTTCCCTGGTGGTCCAGTGTTTAAGACTCTGTGCTCCCAACGCAGAGGGCCCAGGTTCGATCCCTGGTTGGGGAACTAAATCCTGCATGTATGCCGCAACTGAGACCCGGCACAGCCTAAATAAATAAATAAATTTAAAACAAAAACTAAAAAAACACACAAATTTATGGTCACCAAAGAGGAAGTGGGGGAGGGATAAATTAGGAGTATGGGATTAACATATACATACTATCATATATAAAATAAAAACAAGGTCCTATTGTATAGCACAGGGAACTATATTCAATACCTTGCAATAACCTGTAATGAAGAATTAATTTTAAAAATTAAAATAATTTTAAAAAGAATATATATATAAAACAATATTGTAAATCAACTATACTTCAATTTAAAAAATAAATAAATTTAAAAATATATATATATATACCTTCTAAGACGGGGACGCTGGACCCCAGCCAGGGGAAGTGAAACTTTCCAGGACCCCCTAAGGCTGTCCTCCCCAGAGCTGGGGGCCCACCACCTCCTGGCAGGAAGCATTCTGGTCTCCAGCAACCCCCCAGATAGCCAGGGCTGGTGCTCAGACCCTTCCTTCCTTCCCAAGAGGCCCAGCACCCAGAGAATCAGCAGAATCCCGGCAGCCTGCGGGGGCCTCTCAAAGACTGCGGCTTCTGCCTTAGAAAGCAGGGCCTCGAGGCCCCTACCCTGAGCGAAGCGGGGAGCAGGGACCCGGAGGGAGGCAGACACCCCACTGACTCGCTCCACCACCCCTGGCCAGGGGGTCGGCCGAGTCGCTCAACCTCCCAGAGCCCAGGTCCAGCCCCACGAACAGAGCGAATGGTAGCTGCCCTCCGTTTGCGGCGCCAGGGCCGTTGCCCATGAAGATTCAGTGACCCCACCCCCCCCAGCTACCCTACTGAGGTACCAGCAGGCCTGACAGGTCCCACAGCTCCACCTATGGGGGTGAGCAGGAGAGCAGGAAAGTGCAGGTGAGCCCAGCCCTCACGAGGAGTTGCCTGTGATCTGAGCAGCTGCAAAGAGGGCTGGCCTGGAGGGAGCCCCAGCTGCTGGGGCTGGTTCTGGAGCTGGGCTGACACCTCCTGGGAGGACTCAGCCTGGTCGTGAAGAAGGCCTGGGACCAGACGCCTGGGGGAGGCCCAGCTTCAGGGCCCCAGTGCTGGCACACAGGAGGCACTGGTGACCTGATGGTCACTGCCCAGCAGTACCTCTCTACTCAGGGACCACTGGACCACCCTCGGCTCCTGGGGAAAGGACAGGACTTGGGGCCACGTGCAGGGGGCTTAGTTTTCATCCTTTCCCCCTTGTCCCTTGAGAGCAGCAAGAGGAGAGTGGGCTCAGATTGGACACCCCCCAGGTTCCAATTCCAGTTCTGCCTCTAGTGCCCTGGGTACCCTTGGGCATCCTGTCTGAGCCACAGTTTCCACATCTATAAAATGGATCTGAGGGTCATTTCCAAAACAAAGCAAGTTGAATCATTTGAGTCATACCTGTCCCTGAAAACGATCAAAAACAATGAAATATTTAGAAATTGTTTAAATCACCAAAGAGCTGTAAAGCTGGGACCCCACAGCTCATAGTCCTTTAGGGTAAAGGGTGACCCAGGAGTGACCCTGGTCCTCTGAGGGCCGCAGGGACAGAAGCATGTTGCTGAAGGGATGGAGGGAGGGGGATATTCCTCATCTGGGTGGCCACCAAGGCACCATCTCAACAGGCAACTTGTGGTGGCCTGGTCTGGTGGTGGCCCATGGCTCAGCCAGTGGTGGATTCCAGGCCTGCCCTCCCTTGGCTGGACACCTGGGCAATGAACGGCCTGCACTTGGCAGCCCTCCAGGGCTCTCTCTGGGGGAGTAGTCTTCATCTCAGGCTTTAGAGAGTCCCTACAAGCAATTTCCCAAAGCCTGGTGCAGCTCCCCAGCGGGAGCCCCAGCTGGCCCCAGGAGGCGGGAATGCTGAGATTCCCAGAGGAGGGACCAAGGGCAAGAGCAGGGGTGTGGCCGCAGGACCTGGACTCAGTGGACCACGGCAGCAGCAAGCAACAGTGTGAGGTAGAGGCAGGCAGGGAGACCCCAGCACTACTGACCTCTGGGTGGACCTCAGCCCATCACCCACTCCTGCCCCCTGCTCTCTACCAACTCAGCACAGACACTTCCTGCCCAGGGATCTCCTGGCCCATAAATACCCATCGTTCCAGGAGGTGCACATCCCAGCCCTGGTGGCCCAGGCAGCTGAGACCTGCATTGACAGGTAACCACCCCTTCTTCCCTAAGGCCCCTGCACCAGCTCAGAGGAGCATGGGGGAGGGGCAGGAAGGAACAGGAGTCGCCTGGAACCCGACACTCCACAGCCAGCTCCCGTGACACCGTCCACTTCCCCTGCTGTGCCCGGTTTCCCCATCTATAAAATGGGAGCACAGCCCTCTTGCTATAGGGAGTGTGCCTAGGTGAATCCATCTTCCCAAGTCTGGGCCCCTTTTCTCAACTTGGGAGAAAGAAACTCCTTCTCTCCAAAGGGAGCAGAGAAATGATCTCCTCAGAGAAAGGCAGGGGAGGACAATGCTTACCCTCAAGGGAAGGGTGCCAATGGAGGGACTGCAGGCACCAGGAGGGACCAACCTGGGCCACTGGAGGTGCAGGTGGGACACCGCTGAGCAAATATCCAGCCACGGCTTTGGACAAACAACCGCCCCACCTGGCTTGGGCCCCTCAGGCCTCAGGGAGCTCACCACCACCAGCCCAGCTCTAAGCACTGGGCGTTGTGCTGGTGCCAGGGTTTCCTAAGCAGGTCCACCCACCAGGTGCGCCACCCCACACGGCGATGTGCTGGCTGCTGGTGCCCTGAGAGGCCCTGCACCAGGGCCACTCACGGCAATGAGACAGCTAGCGCCTACCTGGCCTGGCACTGGCTGCGGGTCCCAGGGGAGGTGCAGAGACTCAGCTTCTCCACCATGCCTGTGCTGCTGGCCAACCCGGTGGCCTCAGCCGCCTGCTGCCGCTACGTGGGCCATGACCTCAGTCATGCCTTCACCGGGTCCTTCCTCAGGTGAACATCCTGCCCTGCTGCTACAGCTCCCACTGGGGAGCTGCACAAGGCTTTGGGAAATTGCTTGTAGGGACTCTTTAAAGCCTGGGATGAAGACTACTCCCCCAGAGAGAGCCCTGGAGGGCTGCCAAGGGCAGGGCTGCCAAGGGCCCCCACCTGCTAAGCTGGTCCAGTCCCTCCACCCGGCAGGAGGCACCCTTCTGCCTGTGATGCCCATTCCTCCCTTTACAGTTTAGAGAAATTCAGATTGATGTCACCTCCTCCAGGAAGCCCTTCCGGATCCCAGGCTGAGACGGGGCCTCTTCTGGGTTCCCCAGACCTGGGGCTTGCCTCAGATCATCCCCCCACAGGCTGTGTTTACGCAACCACTGTTTATACCTTCCTTCAGTGGATACTGGCTGAGCCCCACCTCTGAGCCCCATCTCAGGCCAGCTCGGGTGAGAGAATGGGGTACAGGACTGAGGCGCTGTCCTCAGCTTACTAAGGACAGAGAAAGGACTCAGTGACCACAAACCAGGAGGCTAAATGCAGGGCTGGGGGCTACACGAAGCATCTAACTTGGTCAAGGGCAGTCAGGGAAGGCTTCCGGAAGGAGGCGGGATCTCAGCCAAGCCCCAAAGGGTGAGTATAAGTTAACCAGGTGGAGAGGAGAGGAGTTCCAGGGAAGGGCCCAGCAGGTACGAGGCCTGAAGGCGAGACCAGCACAATGCTTGGAGGTGTGGCCGGCGTGAGGAGGGTCTGCGGCGGGTGGGCAGGGCCAGGCCGAGGGTTTGGGGCCGTGCGAGGGGGCAGGCATCCACATGAGCCCCTGAGCTGCTCTGTCCCTCCTGCAGGGTCTCGGGGGCTTCACTCCTGTCAGCGGCACAAGGCTGCCCTCCCCCGCACCACTCACACACTCTGACCCTCTGATCACTGACGGAGACTGTCAGGGGCTGACACTACATCTTCGCCCCTGAAATGCCAGGGCCAACGCGGATGACCCACACGAGGTGTCAAGGGCCAGAGACCTGAACCAGCTGCTGGGGCCCAAGGCCTCGGGCCGGCCTTCTACTTATCCCAGACCTTCACAACACCATGGCCTCACCTGGAAGGCACCTACAACGTTTATGCCACGCACCTGCGCCACCACCCATCTTCCTTGTGGATGCTGAATAAGAGACATTTTGAGTGATTTCTCCCACAATTAAAAAATTTATTTAATAAACTTTTATATTATATTCACTATGTGTCAGGCACTGTTTCAAGCACTATTAGCTGTTTAATTTAGGCTTCAGGATAATAGGAGGAGATAGAATAATCCCTATTTTACAGACGGGGAAGCTGAGGAACAGAGAGGTTAAGTGACTTGCTCAAGGTCACACAGCTAGCAAGGCTTTGAACGCAGGCTTCACTGTCTGTGCCCGTAACCACTAGGGTACACTTCCACAATGACAAGTGCCTTTCTAAGGCGACTGGTGTCTCCATTTCTAGACACAGAGCCAGTTGGCATCTCAGCAGACACCCTGTTGCTTTGATCGAGGAAGTGAAGGAGCAAGTGGGCAGGGCCATAAGTGAGCGGCATCTCTGAGGCAGTCCCTGCTGGGGTGGCCCGCACTGAGGCCAGGGCAGAGGTCAGCCCCAGCAACCTTGTCCTTGGCTCTTCTCCCAGGACTGAGAGTTCGAGCCGCTGCGGCCTGGCGCACCCATCTTCCAGATGTTCAGCGGTGAGGACGTGCTCTATGGGGGGGAGTCCACCATGGACCCTGTGTTCATTAACGAGCTTGCCTACTACAAGGAGGGCATTGCCTTCCTCCAGACTGAGAAGCTCACGTTCTCCGTGCCTGCCCTGCCCGCACTGGCCTCCACCCCGCCAGGGTCCCTGATCCAGGCACACCTGCCCGGCATCAGCCCTCCCTTCTGAACAGTGGGTCGTGAGGCACAGTCTTGAGCCCAGGCCCTCCCTTTGCCACCCACTGTGTACCATGTTTCTTGCCATAGCCCCACACCTCCCTGCCTCAGTTTCCCATTCTATAAAATGGAAGATGTCCAGGGGTCCATGGTTCATGTCCTCTCACCTGCATGGCCCCTCTCTGTGACCTTAGGATCTGGGGCAGGTCTGGCTCAGGGTAGTCTTGGACATTCTGTGTGTACTGGGGCCGGGGGTGGCTGTCTCTGTGCCCACGCTTTTTCATCAGTGCCCAGGGGGAAGATCCCATAGTGTGTGTGTGTGTTGGGGGGGACTTGGAGAAGTACTGTCCTGGGGCCAGCAGAGGGGCTTCCAGAGGAGGCTGTGACCCAGAGCAGGGCTCCAACCCCTCTGCATTCCCAGGGCCAGAAAGTCGATCTCTGTGTGCCCGTGTGTGTGGGTGTCCAGGCGTGTGCCTGCCCCAGGTGCTCCGTGGTTGTGTGTGTGTGTGTGGGGGGGGGTCTGCACACACATGTGTTTCTGAGAGCCTCAGTACCTTGGGCATTCTTCCAGGGGGATCCATATGTGGCTGGTGGCACAGCCCAGATGTGCATTTCCAGGTGTGTAATGAGCTCAGGGCTCATGGGGTTTCAGGGGGCATCAAGGCTGGGGAAGGGGTGCAGCTCTACAAGGCTCTCCCCACCCAGGACGGCCGTCCAGGCACAGGGATGCAGGGAGGAGGTGCAGGTAGGGCAGGTAGGGCAGGCGGAAGTCTCCTGCACCACCCAGGACAGAAGTCAGTGTCGGGGAGGGAGCGGGCACAGGGTCTGCATCTGGGGTCCCCTCAGTCCTGCCCCAGGCATTCTCTGCACGGTGTCCACAGCAGGGCTGAACTGGATGGGGTGGGATGACGCCTGGACACAGCCTCACACTTTCCATGCTCCACCCCCGGGGCCCACACCCCACCCCGCCCCCGTGTTGAGAGCATCGCTCCTGCCTGACAGTGGGGCTGGTGGAGCCCAGAGCTCCGTCCTCTCCAGGCATCACTCTCTGGCCCCTCTACACCCCCGCCGCCTGGCTCAGCCATCTCCCCGCGGGCACAGCTGCCACGCTGACCTCTGCTATTGAGCAGCGAGATGAGAAGGTGGGAAGGATATGGGGGCACCAGGGACAGGCTGGCAGGCAAGATGGATGAGGGGGCAGGGGGCCAGCAGGCACCCCTGGCAGGAAGGGCAGACTGGCCAGGGAGGAGGCTGTAAAGGGAAGCGTGCCTGTGTGCATGGTGTATATGTGTTTGTGTGTGTGTGTGTGTAAGAGGAGCTTGTGCACATGTGCACAGGAGTGGTGGCAGGTCACCAGGTCTTGAGTTCGTTTATGCATTTGGGCTGACATGTGAGTGTGCCCACATATGCATGAGCATGTGTGTGTATGGGGGGGTGTCCCAGCACACGGACCAAAGGCGTGTGCAAGCACACACACACATCAGGAGCCAGCAGAACCCCGGACCCCTGGGAGTCCGGGCTGAGGGGGAGCCACTAGGACTGGTGCAGATCCCCCAAACCCCTCCACCACCTGCCTATTTCTCACCTGCCCCACTGTGCATCTTGGGACAGGGTGGCACCTGGGGGCTGCTGGGACCCTCCATCACAGGCGCAGAGAACTCTCCCCCATCTTGCCCAGCAGCAGACCCCAGTGCAGGTGCAGCCTTCCTCCCAAAGCTGGCAGTAGGTCTATGCCAGGGGTCGGCCCACGCTCTCCCCGAGGGATTCCTCCCAGCCTGGCAGGCAGGGACCGGGGGCGCAGGGGGTGGAAGCAGCAGGCCTCCCTGAGCTGAAGGGAGGAGAGGTCTGCCCCCGACATGCGACATGTGGCTCTGGGAGGGGCCAGGGTGTCACACTTGAGAGGAGCAGCCCCTCTCTGCCCCTTGTTAGATATGGCTTCTGCCAACCCCTTGTTCCCAGTGCCAGACTCTGGAGGAGGTGCGGGGGTCCAGCTGCCTTTGGGGACCCCAGTCGAGCATGCCCAGTTTGGTGTGCTCTCACCTAGTGCTCCGGCCTGGGGGCTAGCCTGCGATGCTCCCTCCTGGAGTGGGCTAACCGGGCTCTAGTCCGATGACCCTCCTTGCACCACATGGCAGACACCAGCTTCGGGGAACCCCCATCCTCTGCCTTCCTGACTGGAGATCTGTGTGTTCCCTGAATGCCCAGCCCCAGACAGGCAGGGGCCGCCTGGGGAAGGTGTCTGGTCAGGACATGCCCCAGAGGCCTCTGACCTGGGCCAGCGTCCCCCCCTGTGGGGACTGTGTAGGCACCATCAACCAGGATGGGGACAGCTTACGCCCCCCAGGCTGGGCCAGCCCATCCCAGGCAGAGGCGATTATGCACTTAGTTCAGTTGGGGAAACTGAGGCAAAGAGATGTCAGGGTCCTGCCAGCGTTGCATAGCTCATCGGGCTGAGCGGTCAGGAGGACCTGGCTTCCTGCCATCGAGTCCTGGGGCTCTGCCTCTGCTGGTACTTGTGGCTGCTGCCCGCTAGCCTTTCCTGCTCAAGCTCCCTGGGGATTCCACACCAGCAGCCCCAGGTCAGGTGTCTGGGTCCTGGGGAGAGAGCTTCGCCTCTGCCATTCAGCCCTCCATGCTCCTGCCACCACCGCAGACCCCTGACCTCCCTGAGGCCCTGTCAGCCCCGGCCCCTCCAGTCAACCAGGCGTGGGCCCCTGCAGATCACCCAGCCTGTCCTCGAGATGGGCCCCTACCCTGTGTCTGGCCCATTGATCAGGAATGGCTGGGGGGCTCCTAGCTGGGGAAGGGAGGAAGCCAGGAGGGGGACCGGGAGAGGGAGAGGAGACTTTGTCACGTCAGAGCCTTCCCACCTGCCCTCCTCCCCCACGGCATCGCGCCTGGAGCTGCACCAGCCCAGCCGGGGGCCTTGCACAGTCCAGTACGAGGGTGGCTTGGAGAAGGGGCTCTGCACACCCCAGAGCCAGGGTCCTGCCTACAGAGACCAGGTGCCCGGCTTGGGTGGAGAGCCAAGACCTGGGCGATCGAGGAGGGAAGGCCAGTCCTGCCAGGAGACTGGGGACTGAGTGAGGGCCCAAGAGCTGAGCCGTGCTGCCGAATGGACCAGGAGACCGGGAGGCACTGACCAGAGGCGGGACACGCAGGGACCCCAGCTGAGCCGCCCTTCTCCAGGAGCCGGAAGTCCGGGCTGTCCCCATGGCAGGTAAGGGGCAGGCGGCCAAGGGAGCCCCATGGGTGGGCTTAGGCTCTGGGGTGAGTGGGGTGGGGGGCAGGGACTGGGCGTGGGGACCAAGGAAACGCCACTGGACCCAGGGCCTGGGCAAGAGCATGGGGCAGGGGCACCCCAGGCTGAGGCCTCAGATCCCCCAGGGCGGGGTCGATGGGCTCACAGCCACCCAAGTGCAAATATAGGGGTGCTGACAGGCAGGGAGACACAGCCATTTCTGGGAGGTGAAAGCCTTATCAGACGTTGGTGAGCATGGGCCTGGCTCTGCCCCTCTCTGGGCCTCACCCCTTGAGGATCAAGGTTCGGGGGGGCTGGACAAGGAACCTCTAACTTCCCCTCCAAACCTGACTTCATGCCGGTGGGAAACTGTCAACTCCTGACCCCAAGAGGTGCTGGCTTTTAGAGGAGCTGGGCAGAGGACAGGGTCCTGCCCAGAGTTATTGAGGGTGCTCAGGGGTGGCACATTGACTGGGATGGGCAGGGTGTAGGCTTGTAGAAGACTTGGAAGCCAGTAACCAGCCTGTGAAGCCCCCAGGACCAGCAAAGCCATGAGCCTCCCCGACTTGGGATGCATCACCATGGACCCTGGGGGCTGGCATCGGTTACCGGGATGACGTACATGCTCCAGCAGGACGGCTGGGTGATGGGCAGCTGCCCATGTGATGGCCTGGTCTAGGTGGTGGGGGGCATTAGCCCATCCACCCTTCATGCCCCTCTCAGTGAGACCCACCCACCTCCAGGCTACAGAACTCCCAGGGGCTTTAGTGAGGTGCCACTTCTCACACGTGGCCCTCAGGGCTGCTAAGGTTGGGGCCATGGGCCCGGAGCCCCACACTCTCACGAGGCACCTACTGTGCACTGACTCTGGCCAGCACGTCACACGCTATACCATCCCAGGAACCTCCGTCTACCCATCTATCTATCCATCTATGCATCCATCCATCCAACACCAAAATTCTACCTCTGCCCAGAGGATCTCATGGTTTTACCAGGTCCTCAGCCCCTTATGGGGCTGCTAGAAACTAACAGTTTGTTTTTCAGGATACTTTTCCTAGTTTTAAAATTGTAATTGTGTTAAAATATACAAAACATAAAGATTATCATTTTAACCATCTTTAAGTGTTCAGTGGCATTAAGTACATTCATACTGCTGTGCAACCATCACCACCATCCATCTCCAGAACTTTTTGCATCTTGCAAAACTGAAACTCTGTCCCCATTAAACATTAACTCCCCTTCCCCTCCCCCTGTCCCTAGCAACCACCTTCCTACTTTCTGTCTATGAATTTGACTCCTTTAGGCACCTCTCATGAGCGGAATCACACAGTATTTTTGTGACTGACTTGTTTCACTTAGCATAGCATCCTCAAGGCTCATCCACGTTGTAGCCTGTGGCACGATTTCCTTCCTTTTAAACGCTGAATAATATTCCATTGTCTGTATAGACACATTCTGCTTATCCACTCATCCATCGACGGACACCAGGGTTTCTTCCACATTTTAGCTATTGTGAACAATGCTGCTATGAACACCGATGTACACACATCTGTTCGGGTCCCTGCTCTGGATTCTTTTGGGTTTATACCTAGGAGTGAAACTGCCGGATCATACGGTAATTCTACCTTTAATAATTTGAAGGACTGTCAGCAGTTTTCCACAGGGTTTACACCATTTGAGATTCCACCAGCAACGCACAAGAGTTCCAATTTCTCCACATCCCCGCCAACGCGTGTAATGTTTCATTTCTTGTTTTTGTGATTGTTTTGGACTTTGGTAATAGCCATCCCTGTGGGTGTAAAGTCGTATCTCGTTGTATTGATAGTTAGGTTTTTTTTTTAATCAGAAGGGTGGAGCTGTGGCAAAGCTTTTGAGGTTTTGGCCAAGACTTGTGCCAGGGCTGCAGATCAAAAGGTGGGCTCCTTAGAAAAACGTGAGGAGGCCAGAGCAGAAAGATGCTAGAACCAGCTTCTGGAGGCAGGATTTGGGCCAGTTTGGGGGGTCAGAGATGGGTAAGAGTTGTTCGTGGTAATTCGGGGATCTCCTTCAGCTCAGTATTCCTTAAGCAGCATGAGGCAGCCAGGTCTCCCCAGAGCTGAGAAAGACCCCCCACCCCCATGACCCCACGTGTCACGTCATCCATAACAGATGTCCTTTATGAAGGGCCTACTGTGTGCCAGGCTCGTGCGTGTCCTCACAAATCCTCACATCAGCCCTATAAGGCAGATATTAAGAACCGTTTGTGACAGATGTGGAAACTGAGGCTCCGGGAGGTGAAACAATTTGCTCAAGGCCACTCGGCCTCTTGATGGCTCAAAGATTCCCTGGGGAGCCTGACAGGTCCTGTCTCTGGTCTCCAGGAGCTTTAAGTGAGCATTTACCTCATGAAGTGATGCCGAGTTGGGGATCCTGTGGGAAAACAGGCCTGGCAGTCAGGGGGAGCTTCCTGGAAGAAGAGGCATCTAGGTGCAGCCTGAAAGATGAAGGCTGGCTGGGTGGAGTGGGGGTGGGTGAGGTGAACAGGGGCCCACACTCCATCCTCCCTCTCCAACCTTCCTCTCTGCCGGCCTCGGGGTATTTGCCCCCTCGGAGACCTACCCTTTGCCCATGACGAGCTCCAGCTGGGAGCCCCAGCTGGACTCCCTGTTACCATCAGGCCCTTCCACCAGCTCCACAGGGGCCCAAGCCATGGCTGAGCCCACAGAGCAGGGCCCCAAGAACCCACGTGTGTCTGGTGTGACGGTTCAGCTAGAGATGAAGGCTCCGTGGGAGGAATCCAACCAGCTGGGCACAGAGATGATTGTCACCAAGGCGGGCAGCTATGAGCAGTGGCGGGGGGGGCAGGGCGGTGGCGGGAGTGGGGGGCAGGCCGGAACCACAGTCGAACTGCTGAGCACCCCCTCCTGCAGGAGGATGTTCCCCACCTTCCAGGTGAAGATCCTGGGCATGGACATGCTGGCTGACTACGCCCTGCTCATGGACTTCATGCCTTTGGATGACAAGAGATACAGGTCCGGGCCTGGCTGGGGGTCACAGCTCAGACCTCAGGCACTTGGTCGGGGAAGTAGACCCCCACCAGCACCCTGAGGGAGGCAGGGGCCAGTCGGAGCAGTGCTGGGGGGGGGGGGCCCATCCTGGGCAGCAGTGGGCGCACCTGGGCAGGTAGGGTGGGCTAGCCCAGGGCAGACAGCACTCCGGAGCCTCCGGTTCTTCATGTGCCGACGGGGCCAGTGCATGGGCAGTAGCAGAGATGCCCCGTCAGTCTTGGCTCCGGGTGGGGGCAGCAGATGAGGTGCCGTGGGCTGCAGTTGGGGTGCCCTCGCCACCTCGCTCTGTCCCCAGGTATGCCTTCCATAGCTCGGCCTGGCTGGTGGCGGGCAAGGCGGACCTGACCACGCCTGGCCGCGTGCACTTCCACCCCGACTCGCCGGCCAAGGGCGCACAGTGCATGCGCCAGATTGTGTCCTTCAACAAGCTCGTGTTGACCAACAACCTGCTGGGCGACAACGGCCACGTGAGGCCCGGGCCACAGCGGGGAGGGGTTGGGCCAGGGCAGGGGACGCTGGGGCCTGATTGTGATGAAGCCCGAGCCAGGGCTGGCTGGGCCTTTGGTGCCCGAGTTCACCTGGCCGGGGGTCGGACAGCAGAGACTGCCAGGCGGGTGAGCCAGGCCCACGTAGGTGCAGGAACCCGGCACCACTGACACTGTGTCAAACAGACAAAGATCCCTGCCCTCACGGGGGCTCACCTCCTGGGGTGCCAGGCAGATGGTAAGCAAAGAATCCAGACGGCAGAAGGGTGATAAATGCCAGGAGAGAAAGGAATCCAGACGGCAGAAGGGTGATAAATGCCGGGAGAGAAAGGAAACAGGGAGCGGGGCTGAGACGGAGGGGGCCGTTGAGTTCAGGGGGCTCAGGAAGCAGCTGAGGCGCTATTTGAAGAGGGGTCTGATGGAAGTGGAGGAGGGAGCCTGTGCGTACAGAAGGGGGAGCCTTTGCAGGCAGAGGGAACAGCAAGTGCAAAGGCCCTGAGGCTGGAGAATGCTGGGGAGTTGAGGAAGCTGTGAGGAGACTCCCGTTTGGCTGGGGTGGAGCTCAGAGGGGCAGTGGGAGGGGAAGGGATCCTAGGGGCATCCAGCACTGCTCTGCAGGGACATTTGGCTGTGGAGAGGATTCTGGTCTTTACTCTGTGTAGCTCACGAGGGCTCTGAGCTGACTCACTGGGGCTGCTGTGTGAAGGGAGTGCAGCCAGGAAGCAGCTGTGGAAATCCAGGAGAAAGATGATGGTGGCCCGGTGGGGTGGAGCCAGTGGGGTGGGAAAGGTGGTCAGATCCCGGATAGTTCCGAGACAGCTGGGGTGTGGGAGTGAGAGACACCAAGCAGCCTGGAACCTCCAACAAAGGGGCCTTTGATACAGAACTGCAGACTCTCAAGTTCAGACCCGGCACCGCCGCTATCAGATGGGGGCAGCGGGCCCTGGAAGAAGGGCTTCGGCCCCAGAGAGGGTTTGCGGCTGCCCCACCCCTTCCGCACCCCCCCGCAGATCATTCTCAGCCCCGTGCACCGCTACCAGCCGCGCTTCCACGTGGTCTTCGTGGACCCACGCAAAGACAGTGAGCGCTACACGCAGGAGAACTTCAAGTCCTTCATCTTCACGGAGACCCAGTTCACGGCTGTGACGGCATATCAGAACCACCGGGTGGGTCAGGCCACAGCTCGTGAGGCAGCTGCCAGCCTACCTCACAGGGGGGAAACTGAGGCGCCAGGCTCTTAGGCCCCACAGGCACACAGTCCCCTGCCCTTCTCTCCTTCCCGGACTCAGTGGGCATCTACCCACAGTCCTTCCCCTGCCTTCATGCCCACTGGCTCTGTGGCTCCTGGGCTGAGGGGCCCAGGTCCCAGGGCCTCCAGATTGGGGACGGGGTGGTCCAGGGAGGAGAGGGTGGCTGAGCCCGGGGCCCACAGCCTTTCTCCAGCTCAGGGCTGGCCCATAACTACCCTTTCTCCTCTGCAGAGCACCCAGCTGAAACTCACCAGCAACCCTTTTGCCAAGGGCTTTAGGGAGAGTGACCCGGACTCCTGGTACCGTCTGGCCCCTGACAGCTCCGCCCAGCTGCCCTAACCCACCCCCTCACCCCATCCCTATCCCCAGGCATCTCCTAAGGCCTCTGACCCTTCCTTCAGGGTCACGCCCACTGGCTTGTCCCGGGGTCCCACTGTCTGACTCTGACCATGACCCTTGGCCTGGGTTCTCCATCTTGACCCCCTGCCTCATTCCTGCTTGCCCCACCTTCAGGCCTATATCTCCACGGCCCCTGCTCAGCGTCCGGACCCGGAGTCGCAGCAGCCTCCGCCCCTGCCTGCCAAAGGGCTCCACAGAGCAGGAGAAAGGTCAGGCCCCAGCCCACAGACACAGTGGGACCAGAGCCTGCGTAGTGGACGGGGCCACGGGGCCCCCAGGAAGGGGCTTCCGCATGCTCAGCAAGCTCCCTGGTCATCTGTGTGTACAGAGAGGGGGAGGCAGAGAGAACGGTGCCGGGACGAGGTGCTGAGAGCAGGGGCAGGGGCGTCGGGGGGACTTCCTGGAGGAGGTGGTTCCTGAGCTGGGCCTTGGAGGGCTGGGAAGGGTTTGGACAGAGGGAGAAGGTGGGGGAGAAATTCCAGGCAGAGGGAAGAGCAAGCACAAAGGCTAAGTGGCGGGCAACTTGGGGTGGGAGGGGCAGGGAACAGGACGGGGAGGCTGAAGGTGTGAGGGGAGGTCTGGGGCCCACTCACACCATTTCCTCCCTCAGACCCCAACAAAGCTCCAGCCTTCACCTCCAGGACCCCTGCCAGGCTCCACCATCAGCTGCTGGCTCCCAAGGCTCTGCTGGCCTCAGCCACCTACCGGCCCCTCACCTACCAGGGCCTGTACCCTGGAGCCTCAAGCCCCCTCCGAATCCCAAGGGCCCGACCGACACCATACCCCCTACCCAATATCCAGGCTGACAGGGGTTGGGGGGCCTCCCCTTCCCAGCTGGGCTGGGGCTCCTCTCCCGCACTGCAGTGCGCCTGGGGTCTGGCCAGGACCCACAGTGATGGTAGGGTCCTGTGGACAGAGTCCTCTTACCCTGGAGGCCCCCCTCTTCAGCCTCACCTCTGCAGAGACATCCTCCCCTCACAAGGAAAGCAGGGCAGGTGGAAGCCAGAGAGGAAAGCTACCTGCCCAGAGTTCCAGCAAAGCTGGGATGGTGTCAGGCTTGGAACCAGAGCCCCTACCTCCCAACCTGCCCCTTCTGCCTTGGAAGTGACTCCTCCAAACCCTGCTTTACCTCTCTCTTCCCTGCAACATTAAACTGTTTGGAATGGGTGGTCAGCTGCACTTCTGTCCTTGGAGGCCAAGGCGGAGGGCCTCAGGAATGCCCACACCCCCGAGTCTGGGCTGCAGACATCGCAAAGCTCTGCCCAGTGCTGCTGGCATCCCTGGGAGCACAGAGTCATGGTAAAGGTGGCGACACATGCTGAGTGGCAGGGCTGTGAAGGAGGCTGCGTTCCTGCCCTCTGCCGCGTGTGCCCAGATGAGGACTGAAATTGCAGCTCAGGGAAGCACCCGTTCGAGGTCGAAGCAAAACATGGGACACCTGCCATTCCACGTTTAGGTGCTAAGTGCGTGGCTGGGGTGTGTGGTCCTCGAGGGGCCAGAGTCTGGCCGAGGGGTGCACAACACCACAGGCAGTGACCACAGGGATCAAGGTGAGGGTGGCGGGAGGAGTTTGAGAATCCGATCAACACTCCAGGTAGGAGAGCTTCTAGAGAAAGTGACATTTAAACCAACACCTATAAGAGTAGAAATTGCGGAGGACGGGGGTTGGGAGGAGAGACGAGCTACCGGCGGCGGCGGGAAAAGCAGGGAGAAGGCCGGGGACTGGAGTGGGACCCTTGGAGCGAGAGGGCGCGGCGCGTGCCACCCAGTGGAACCAGGAGAGAGGGCCCGGAGGGTGGGGAGGGCCGGGCACTCCTCCCGCGGCCCCAGGCGTCTCTGCCCCGTAGACTCCCTAAACGCCGACCCCGAACATCCTGGAGCACTTCCTCTGAGGTCCCGGACCGCCGCGGGCGCGGAGAAACGCGGGTCCCGGCGGGGCCTTAACAGCCAGACACCCCGACTCGCGAACCCCGCGGTCAGCGCGGCCGTGCCCGGTCGCCGGGCCAGGCGCGACGCCACCTGCTCTAGGCGTTCGTAAGGGGACACTCTGCAGACCATCCACGCCAGCTCCGCCCCGCCCCAGGCCCGCCCCAGGCCCGCCCCTCTACCGGAAGTCCAGGCTATCTGGTGACGCCCCTTGGCCACGCCCCACAATTCGCGGAGAGGCCCCTTCCCGGCCTGGGCCCGCCCCTTAATCGGGCCCCGCCCCGTGGGCAAGGCCGCTGCCGCTACGGAGCCCCACCCTGCGGGCAGACTCCTCCCACGGCCCGCCCCCCAGATTCCCGAGACACCCTGGAGTGTGCGCTCTGCCCGGTGACCTCGGTTTCCCGGCCGCGCTGGGCCGGACATGCTGCCCGACTGCCTGTCGGCGGAGGGCGAGCGGCGCTGCCGGCGGTTGCTGGCGGGGGCCACGGCCCGGCTCCGCGCGCGACCTGCGGCGGCCGCGGTTCTCGTGCCGCTGTGCTCGTTGCGTGGGGTCCCGGCGCTGCTCTACACGCTGCGGTCCAGCCGCCTGCCCGGGAGGCACAAGGGTGACGTCAGGTACACCGGCCGGGAACTCCTCTCCCTTCTAGGAAGAGGCCGCTGAACCCGGAGACCACAGGGTCGTGGGCAAGGCACTTAGCCTTTCCGAGCCTCGGTTTCCGCCTCTGTAGAATGGGTCTGGGTCTGAGAGCCCGTCAGGCAGAGGGCTATGGCGGGAGTCAGCAACCCACGTCCCTCCGCCCCGAATCTGGCGCCGCAGGTGGTCCTGCCCGGGCGCCGCGCGGATCGCTCGACACCTCGTTCAGATCTGTGTCCCCCTCCAGAAAGGCAGGACTCCGCCCCCTTCCAGCGACTACTGGGAGATTCGTGTCCCCGAGCCGAGGAAGCGCGCGGGGCGGGGTTACCTGGCTTCCCGCCCTGGCCCCGCCCCCGGCGGGAATTGGGGACACCCTAGAGTCAATGTCAGCGCCTCTGGGGCCACCATAAACAGAGTTTGCCTGTCTGAGCCCCAGGGCCTCTCTCCCTTACTCCCGTTGTTCAGGGAAGTAAACTGGGCCTGGAGCGGTCGTGTGGCTTGCCTAGCCCTCTCTGCAAACTAGGGGCGAGACGTTATTTAGGTGGGTCACTGCCACAGCCTCCACCCCCACCTCTCCACGGCCCCAGCAGCCCGAGAACCAGGCTCCCTGTGCCTGTTCAGTTTCCCAGGTGGCAAGTGTGACCCCGCTGACCGCGACGTGGTGCACACGGCCCTGAGGGAGACCCGCGAGGAGGTGGGCCTGGTTGTGCCTGAGGAGCACGTGTGGGGAGTCCTGAGGCCCGTGCACGACCAGGTAAGCCCGCCAGGCCCTGAAACCACCACCGGCCCTTGCCCCATTCAGCCCCTCTGCTTGCCCTGGGCTAGGAGCAGGGACCCCAGGGACAAGGAGGGTGGTCATGGACTGTGGCAGTCACGGAGTACGGTGGGGACACCTGCCTGGCAGTTGTGTTCCATCCTCACACAGCCCGTCAGGAAGGGGCCAGGGGTATTTTATCCCCTTTCACGAGGGATACTGAGGCTCAGGTCCTGGGGTGGAGATGGCTCCGGGGTGAATCAGCTCTGCTCTGCTCCGTGGACAAAGGTTGGGGAGGGCTTTGCAGGGTAGGCAGGGACTGAATGACCACTGGGAGATTTTAGGGTAGTAAAAATAAGGAAAAGCGAAGGCCCAGAGGCCTGAATGGGTCCAGTGTGTTTGGGGGGCCTGAGTCAGTCAGCGTGGCTGGAGCGAGTCCAAGGGCAAGGGCCGGGTGGACCTGACCTGCACTGCTAAAGGCCCCTGGAGTCTTTCTCTCAGGCTCCCTGCCCCAGCCCCAAAGCCCTGTCGAGGGCGTGCCTCCCCTGACTGCCTGCCCTCCTCCTGCCTCAGCAAAAGACCACTGTGGTGCCAGTGCTGGCCGGCGTGGGCCCACTGGATCCCCAGAGCCTCAGGCCCAACCCCGATGAGGTGAGTGGGGAGATGCTAGGGGTGGAGTCTGGGCCGTCCGGATGGGCGGAGGCTGCAGTGGCCAGTGCTCTGTCTACCCTCTCGCTGCCTCCTGCCCACAGGTGGATGAAGTGTTTGCACTGCCCCTGGCCCATCTGCTGCAGGAACAGAACCAGGGCTATACCCACTTCTGCCATGGTGGCCACTTCCGCTACACACTGCCTGTCTTCCTGCATGGGCCACACCGGATCTGGGGGCTCACGGCCGTCATCACTGAGTTCACCCTGCAGCTGCTGGCACCTGGCGTCTACCATCCCTGCCTGGCCAGCCCTGAGCTGCCCAGGGGCTGATGGCCTGGCCCTGAGCAGCCCCTGCCTTTGCCCAGCCACGCCAGCTCCACTCCAGGACTGAATAAAGAGCCTTTGCCAATTCCGTGGCGACTGCACCTTCTGCACTGGAGCCCTGACCTTGGGCAGACCCCATGGGACAGCTGGCCTCCTGGCTAGGGTGCCTCTGTTACTTGCTGTGCCCACTCACTGTGTGCCAGGTGCCTGGAGTCTTTTTTCTCATTTCACTCTCACCACAACCCTGTGAGATGGGGCCAACGCTCTCCCTGGCTGGTGAGACTGAGGCTCAGGGAGGGTAGACACCTTGCCCAAGGTCACCCCAGTTTGGGATTTGAACCAGGCCCTCTCTGACTCCAGAGACCAAACTCCTAGCCACTACCCTGTACGAGCTCCTGTTCCATCTTCTGTGCCTGGCTGACCATGTGCTGGGCAGTAGGCATCCAGAAAGGAGCCCTGCCTGCTACTGCAAACCTCTACCATGCCAAGCTCCCACCATGTGCCAGGTGCTATGCTGGGGTCCCATCTGTGCACCGGCCAGATGCTACTCTGCCCTCTGGGGGTGCTCAGTCTGTGGGAGATCTGAGACCAGGTCACACAGATAATCATGTGATTGTACATTAATTACTCACAGATATGTAATGGAATTATGTATCAATCATGTAAATCTCTGTGAGACAGTTGAAGGGGTGGGCAGTCTAACCTTGACACGGTGGACTGGGCAGTATTAGGCAGGACAAGTGATAGAAAACCCCACTTTGCCAAAGGAAGAATGGTGATTACAAACTCCAGAGATAGACCAGCTTCAGGTATAGCTGGATCCAGGAGCTCAGGGACTCTTCTTCCCACTGCATTGGCCTCACTCTCAGGAGCATTCTCTAGTCCACAGGGGTGAGAGGTGAGAGGGCAACAGCTCTCGGATGGCACGGTACCAGCATCCCATCAACAGAAAACAGCTTCTCTTTCTGGGCCAGTCTATCCCAGAATTGTACTCGATTGGCCTGCTTCGGGTCACATGCCCTTCCCTGAACCTGTCGCGTGGCTGTTGGATCTGGAATTCATTGACTGGCAGGGTCTGGGGCACCGGCCTGGGGAGCAGGGTGAACCTCTTAGAGCGAGAGTAGCGAAGGTGTGGCCCCCAAAGGACCCCTGGGGACAGACAGGGAAGGTTGAGCAGGTAAAGGCAGCCACGTTCCCCTGCAGAGAGTGACCTTGAGACCATAGGTAAGCGGGAGCAGGCCAGGTCAAAGGGCAAGGGAGGAAAGTTGGGGCACAAGGAGCAGCATGTGCACACAGCTTGGGGTGTTCTAGGAAACCAAGAGGGGCCGTGGGGACATGGGGGGAGGGGCCCAGCACTCGGGGCCCCAGTGAGCGGCCAAGGGGACCAGCCTCAGTGATGGGGTAGGATTTTATTCCAGGCTGGCAGAGGGGGAGGGAGGTGCCGAAGTGATCGGATTCAGGTGTTAAGCTTGAGCTCCAAGGGGACCAGGTTGCGGTGGCACCCCCACCCCATCTCTGCAGAGCCCTCCCCGCCCGCCCATCTCCCCTCCCCCCAGCCTGCCCTCCACACCCCTCCCCCTTCCCACACGCCTCCCCACACGCTGTCCCCCAACCCCTCTGTCTCACCTACCCCTTCCTCCCCACACTCCCCTCCCATTGCCCCTCATACCCCTTGTATCACCTCTGGCCCTCCAGCCTCACCTGGGAGCAGGGCCACGTGATGGCAATAAAAATAACTCTCCGACTGTGTGTGAATTGGGGAGGGGTTGGGGGAGAAGGAGGGAGGCTGGGCGCCAGCACTAGGGAAGGGGCCCTTGGGGTGGAGGGCAGGGAGCTGCTGGTCTCCTGGGCCCCAGAGAAGCGTTCTGAGTCCCACCCCTTCCCCCGTCCCCAGGGCCACACTCTGGCTCTCTGGGTCACCTCCGTCAGGTGCACACCCAGCACCGCAGCGACCCAAACCAGATGGAGGAGCTCTCAGAGCCGTAAGTAGCCCAGCCGGCCTACCTGCCAGCCCACGGGGTCCCCCTCCCGGCTGGAGGCCCCCACCCTGCCGACCTTGACCTTGCGCTCTGTCCTCAGGTCCCAGCTGCTGCCCAGGACCCCCCCGCCCCCCGCCAACACCCTCAGTGATGCCTCCTCGCCCTGTCTGGTTGGCCTGATGCGGTGCCCTCATCTCCGGTGCTCAGGGACTCCTCTGAGTGCCGCCTCCATGTCCAGGCCCCCATGGCGGGCATGGCGGGCCGGGGGCGGGTGAGCGTGCAGGAACACGTGGCTATTGACGTGAGCCTGGGCCCCATCCGGCCCATCCACCTCATTTCCGACTACTTCCCGCACTTCCACCCCTTCGCTGAGCCCACCCTGCACACCTGAGACCTACACCCTCCAGTGACCCCCACCATCCACTCTGCATCCCAGTCCCAGCCAGACCCAGAGCCAGAGGGAGACTCACAACAGCAGTGAGTGGGTGCAGGGGACAAGGGGGACCCTCTGGGCCCAGCCCAGCCAGGATGGGGTCTGGGGCATCCCCAGGCTTCCGACCTGGGGAGGGGCGGGGCAGGAGGCATGGCGCCGGGGCGGAGGTTGATGTAGAAGCTGACCTGCCAGCCACCTGCCCTTAGCCACCCTCGGCACCCTCGAGTTCACGCTTTTTTTTTTTTTTTTTTACGGTACGCAGGCCTCTCACTGCTGTGGCCTCTCCCGTTGCGGAGCACAGGCTCCGGACGCGCAGGCTCAGCGGCCATGGCTCACGGGCCCAGCCGCTCCGCAGCATGTGGGATCTTCCCGGACCAGGGCACGAACCCGTGTCCCCTGCATCGGCAGGTGGACTCTCAACCACTGCGCCACCAGGGAAGCCCCACGCTTCTTTTTGACACAGACAATAGCACACTGCACTGCACAGCTCACCGTGCCAAGGTGAGGACGGGGCGGCATCCCTGGGTCCCAGGTGTGGGCCCCGGGCCTGTCCCACATCCACTGTCTCTTCCCAGGGCCTCAAGCTACCGGCCTCGGGCTCCGTGGACACCTATGTCAAAGCCAACCTGCTGCCTGGGGCCAGCAAGGTGAGGGTGAGACACAGGCCCCTACTGCTGTCCCTTGGCCGCACACCCAGCCTGGAGCACCCACCTGGCCTGCCATGCCCCTCTTCCCCAAGGCCTCGACCTCAGACAGGGAGCCTCCGTTGCTGGGATGTGCAACTAGAGGCTATATGAGGGAGGGGGACCAGGCTGGGGCCCTGGGGCCCGACAAGGCTCTGACCCTCCCTGCTCAGCCCCCAGGCCAGCCAGCTGCAGACACGCATGGTTTCGGGGCACAAGGGGGCCTGTCTGGGAGGAGGCACTCATGGCTTCACCCTCCAGGACACCCGGCGCAACACCCTGTGGTGAGGATAGGGCCTGGGCCACAAGGGGGCAGGGCCGAGGTGGGGGGTGAGGGCTTGCCTGGCCAGGTCTGACCTGCGTGGCCACCAGGCTGTGCGTCTGGGAGGACCCACAGCTGCAGCAACGGCGGCGGGCGCCTCCGCTGCGGGAGCTGCGGGTGCCCCTGGGGAAGCTGGTGCCCAACCAAGCCAGGAGCTTCGATGTGTGTCTGGAGAGGCGAAGGCTGGTGAGTGGGCTGGTGCACAGGGTGGGGCATGCAGGGAGGGAGACCTGGGCAGTGTGCAGCCAAGGGGACCAGGCTCTCTGCTCTTTCAGACCAAGAGGCCCAAGAGCCTGGACACAGCACGTGGCATGTCTCTGTATGAGGAGGTGGGTGGGACGGCAGATTCCAGCGAGGACTGGGGGGGCAGGTCTGGGCTGGCCCAGGCTGAAGTGTGTCAGGCAGGGATTGATGTGGGCTGGACAGGGGTCCAGGCCCAGGCAGGCTTGGAGAAACTGAGGCCATCTCGCTCACTGGCCCTGTGAGCGCTCATAGTCTCAGGGAACAGCCAGGCCCCAGGGGCTGGGCAGAGGGTGACTTCCCCTGCCAGGGCAGCCCAGGGGAGCTGTGGGGCACTGGCACAAGCCCTCAGGGGGCAGAGACACAGGCCAGCTTGAGGCAGAGGCTGAAGCCAGTGGGATCTTTCCCTGGCCTGAGCTGGGAGGGCAGGTCAAGGTCCGGGAGAGAATGGATATGGTGGGGCTGCACGGCTGCTAGGTCTGCCCGAGGCAGTGTGGGTACCACACTTCTGGGGCTGGTAGTCATAGACACAGGCCCTTGGCAGGAGGCAGTGATGGTGACCGCAGGGGATTTGCAATAGGAAACCAAAGACCTGGGCAGAACCCCTGCAGCCCAGCAGGCCCCCGGCACCCGTAAGGCTGAGGCAGGGCCCTCCGCAGCTCCTCCGGGCCAGAGGGCCAGGTGCTGCTGCCCCGCCCCGTAGTGGAGCCGCATGTTGCTGCGACTGTCAGTCAGTCAAGGCGAAGCTGCGGAGCCCTACTGGGTGGGGCAGGGACCCGCCACAAGCACTTCCTGGCCCAGACCCCACACAGCAGCCCCTTGGCTCACGGAGCACTCCGTTACTGAGAGCTGAACGCCAGCAAGGTGGCTGGGCTTTCGGCAAATCAAATCCTTCGTTAAGTGTGGGAGAAGCACATTCTCTCCAAGGCATCCTCTCAAGTCCTTTGGAAGCACCAGGGGCCAAGTGTGGCAAAGGATGTTCAGAATCTGGCCGCTTGGGCTGCGGGGTGTGAGGAGGGTGGGCTTTGTAGCTGAACAGACCTGTATGTCCTTGGGTAGAGAACAGCCTCTTGGAGCTGCTTCTGTGGCACCAGGCTTACCCTGCGGGAGGGTGGTGATGGGTACCTAATGGCAGGCCACCTAGGAAGCTCCTAGCATGTTTGTGGTCCTTAGGGATATCAGTTCCCTTCCCCTCCATGACAAAGATGCCCCGAACTGGCCAGTCACGTGGCCTGGCATCCCCTTCTCAGGCCCTGGAGGATAGAGCTCAGCTGGAAGTTTCCTTCCAGGGCACTAAGCCAGTGACTGTTTTTGTAAATTGAATCATGAAATCAAACCACTGGCCCCTGACTTCTCTGCAGCCAGTTTGCATTCTCATGTCCAGGCCAGCACTGGTGGGTGGTGGGCTATGGGCCACACGGGAGCTGACCCCAAGCCTACCCCCTGCCCGAGGAGGTGGAGGCTGAGGTAGCCGGGGAGGAGCGTGGGCGCATCCTGCTGTCGCTGTGCTACAGCTCTCAGCGGGGCAGGCTGCTGGTGGGTGTGCTGCGCTGTGCCCACCTCGCCCCCATGGATGCCAACGGCTACTCGGACCCCTTCGTCCGCCTGTGAGTGTGAAAAGGGGTGGACAGGTGGACAGTGAGGGTTCCTCTGAGCCGCTCGGGGCTCAGCTCTCCAGGGCCACACCTAAGCTGACCCCGTTCTTCCCCATTAGTTACCTGCATCCGAATGGAGGGAAGAAATCGAAATGTAAGACCAGTGTTCAGAAGAAGACCCTGAACCCTGAGTTCAACGAGGTAGGCCAGGGCTGGGGGGAGGCAGTCCTGGCTGCTGGGGGTGGGAGGAGGGGGCTCAACATCCTGCTTCCGAGAGCACAGGCCCCAGCTACCCTGAGCCATTCACCTGTCTGAGTCTGTTTCTGAGGCTGTGAAGGACCCAAGGCTGCCTCCCTCCTGCCTTTCTGCCCCCTTCCCTGCAGGAATTCTTCTGCACAGGCCCACAGGAGGAGCTGGCGCAGAAGACACTGCTGGTGTCTGTGTGGGATTATGACCTGGGCACAGCTGACGACTTCACTGGTGAGTGGGAATGTCGGGGAGCTGGGGCGTGGGCCCAATGGACTCCCACACGGCTCCTGACCTGTCCCCCAACCCAGGTGGGGTGCAGCTGAGTAGCCAGGCCAGCGGGGAGCACCAGCAGCACTGGCGCAAATGGCTGGGCCGCACTGACCACCAGCTGGAGCTGTGGCACCCGCTGGACGGCACGCGCCTCCAGCTCAGCGAGTAGCAGGGGCACCCGGCCTGGCCCTGCTCACCGCCCGTCCCCGAGACTGACCCGCGGCCGCCTCCATGGAGCTGCGAGGACCTGGGGCTGCCTCACCCACCATGTCCACCCCTAGTCAATTGCTTCCTTCCTTCCCCCCTTTCAAATTCACCCCACTGCCAAATCATGAAGAATAAACCTCTCCTCCAAACCAGACCGGACAGCCGGTTCTTTCCCTGCCCATCGCCTCACAGGGCAGACTGGGCCCTGTCCTCCTTGCTCCCATCCTCCAGAGGCCTTCACTGGGCCAGGCCCAGGTCTGCACCCCAGGCCACAGTTTCCCCCTCCCCACCCGCTTCTTGCACTGAGGGGTCAATGCTCAGGATGGTCTACGACAGACTGACGCACAGGAGGCCAAGTGTAAATTCACAAGACCTTGTGCTGACCTATCCCTCCCAAACCTCCACCTCCATCTGGGAAATAAGCCTCCAGGAATAATGGGCCGCAGAGGCAGAGTGAAGAGCAAGGCCACAGAGAAGACGCACCGAGTGGGCAGCACTTGCTTTATTGTCCAGCCGTCCAGGCAGATGGACGCCGGCCCAGCACGGCGGGCTCAGGAAGCGGCTTGCCTGGCCTGGTGCTGCTGGGCGAACCGCTGCATCCGCTCCTCGAGCTCCGGCCGGAAGTGTCGGATCAGGCCCTGGGGGTGAGGGTCAGGGTGCTGGGTGCAGCAGGGCCTGAAAATCCCCCAACGCCCGGGCTCTCAGCACCGCCCCCAGCACCATGCAGCAGGGCAGCGAGTACCTGCACGGGCCAGGCAGCTCCGTCGCCCAGGGCACAAATGGTGTGGCCCTCTATCTGCTTGCTGATCTCCCACAGGGAGTCGATCTCAGCCGGCCGGGCGTCCCCCTTCACAAAGCGGGCCATCACCTTGTTCATCCAGTCCACACCTGGGCCGCGGCAGCAAGAGAGGGCCTGGTGATCTCCCTAAGCCGGGGTGCGGGCCACAGGGGGGCGGGGCTCAGAGCAGCCACAGCGGCTGGGAAGCAGTAGCTGTTTATTCAGGGTCCAGTGCCCGGCCCAGGCCTGGCACGAGCCACAGAAAGCCCCAGCCTGCCCAGCGCGCTTACCCTCGCGGCACGGGGTACACTGGCCACAGCTCTCGTGCTTGTAGAACTCGGTGAGGCGGGCGATGGCTTTCACGATATCCGTCTGGGGAGACGAGGGACAGTGAGGAGGCACCCAAGGCCTGAGCCTCAGCGCCCCCCGGTGGCACACCCTCCTGATTCCAGCGGCACTCTGGCTGTCTCCTCCCCCTGCCTTGGGCATCCCGCCCTGCCCAGGCTCCACGGGCGTGTCCCCCCGAGAAGCCTTGCTCCCCACCTCTCCCACCTCACTGTATCTCAGGTGATACGAACCAGGACCCAAGAGCTGGCAGGAGTTCTCCGAGAGGCTCCGGAAGGGTTACTAACCAGGCTGGCATAAGGCAGGGACTGGGTGGGGAGCATGGGCCAACCCTTACCGAGCGGTCCATGACGATCACGGCAGCCGTGCCCAGGCCCGTCTGCGCCTGCACCAGCGCGTCGAAGTCCATCAGCACCGTCTCACACACGGACTTGGGGATCAGTGGGGTGGACGAGCCGCCAGGAATCACAGCAAGGAGGTTGTCCCAGCCACCCGTGACACCCCCTGGGGCCCCAGTCAGTCCCCAAAAGGATGGATGGTCAGGGCTGGGGCCGGCACACCTGCCTAGCCCTGAGCCCAGGACCTCTGCTAGCCCCAGCCTCAGCTCCTGAGGCTCTCCCACCCTGCTGGCTGGCCCCAGGCCTCACCGGCGTGCTTTTCAATCAGTTCCTTCAGCGGTATAGACATCTCCTCCTCCACGGTGCAAGGGTGGTTGACGTGGCCAGAGATGTTGAACAGCTTGGTGCCTGAGTTGCGTTCGCGGCCAAAGCTGGCAAACCACGCACCCCCTCGGCGGCAGATGGTAGGGGACACGGCCACTGTCTCCACGTTGGCCACGGTTGTAGGGCAGCCGAACACTCCTGTGGGGGAAATGGGATGAGAAATCGGTGGCTTCCAGTGGGTGGGGACAGGTTGCGGCGGGTTTCCTGGCAATGGGGTATGTCCAGGGTCCTGCTCCGGTGGCAGAGAGTCCTGCTTTCACCCCTTTGTTATTCTCGTCCCCCACCGGACCCCAGATTCCAGCAGGAGCTGCGCTGCCTTTTCACCATCCTGCCCCGAGTTCCCGGAAGGTTGGAGAGGACTTGGGTATCTGACATGGGAGCTGAGGCAGGATGAGGGACTGCAGGTGGCACTGGTGGAGCCTCTATGTTGTTCCCACCCTGCTCTCTGTGTCAGGCGCCCAGTGCAGAAGGGACTCAGAAATTCCCTAAGAATGACCAGTGGGGACCTGAAACCAGATCCCGGACTCCACAGGACACAGGACAAGGCCCAGGATCGGGCCAGGTGCCAGGTCTTACCCACGTCTGCAGGGAAGGGAGGCTTTAGGCGGGGCTTGCCCTGCTTGCCCTCGATGGACTCGATGAGCGCCGTCTCCTCCCCGCAAATGTAGGCCCCAGCCCCACGCACCACAAACACGTCGAAATCATAGCCGGAGCCGCAGGCATTCTTGCCAATCAGACCAGCCTCGTAGGCCTCTCGGATGGCTACCTGTGGGACAGGGGTGTGAGGACACGGTCCCCAAGGGCCCAGGAACACTGTGTGTGGGAGGGAGGGGCACTGGCCCAGTGAGCCCATCACCAAAGTCCAGAGCAAAAGCTCCCTTTGGACACAAGCAGAGGACGCTCTGGGAGGGGGTGGGGATTTTTACGATGCATGTGCTACTTCTGTAATAACATTTAACAAATTCTCCAACTATATGTATTTTTAAAGACTTTAAGACAATAATGAAAAATTCAGCAAGTAGTTTCTCCAGGTGGTGGATCTGTGGGAGAGTTTCCTTTTGTGTGTGTGTGGTTTCCTATCTTCATAATGAACGAGTACTGCTTCTGAGTAGAAGAAAAGACCCTGGAGGCTTATTTTTAAATATGTAATAATAATAACACTTACACATAATGCTACCATGTGCCAGGTTATTACTCCCACATCCTTCATCACTGTTGTGTAGCAGCCTAATAGAAAGGTGAGGCTTTGGCCCTGGACCAATTACTACAGGCATCACTGAGCTGAGAATTACTGAAATGACCCCTTGACCCTCCAGGAAAAATGCCCATATGGGAGTTCTCCAGCCTACCCCTGCCCCAGGAGTCATGGAGCCCTGGAAAGAGTCATGGAGCCCAAGCAGAAGCTCTGGAACATACAGAAAGAGACAGAGGCATTGGGGGCCACGTCCCATTCAGGACACAAGGCATGCAGGAGTGATCACCACTCTCCTAGTGCGACCCCAGACAGATCAGCAGCTAAAATCTAAGAACAACTCTGCCTAGGATTGGGGCATGTAAGTGCACACTGAGCACCTTCTCCTCTGTTGACGCCCCACCTCTGCCCACCTGTAGATTGGACGCCTCATTGTAGAATTCCCCGCGGATGTAGATGTAGGCGGCACGGGCACCCATGGCCCGGCCCCCCACTAGGCAGCCTTCCACCAGCTTGTGGGGATCATGGCGCATGATCTCCCGGTCCTTGCAGGTGCCCGGCTCCCCCTCGTCCGCGTTCACCACCAGATACTTGGGCCTGTGGGGGCCAGCAGGTCAGTCAGGCTACAGGGCCACCAGGGTTGGGCCTTCAACCACATGCCACCCCACTCCACCCAGGGAAGCCTCCTCTGACAGCCAATCCCTCTTTGTCCTCCTGACATGTTCCCAGGGGCTCTGCTTGCTCACCACCGATGACAGGGAGCTCACTGCCTATTCCGTATTTGGGTGGGTATGACCACAGGAAAAATCTTTGCTTTCCCAAGAGCCCCAATCTGCTTTTGGTCACAAAGAGCATTCCGTGAACCTCCACCGTATCTCTGGAGCCAAAAGGAGGCAAAATAGCTGACATTCAGCCTTTGCTTTCTAGGTGCCAACCACAGTGCAGGCCAAAAGCTGTACGAACATTCTCTTTCATCCCTGCACGATATAATATCCACTTACAGAACAGAAACCTGAGGTTCGGAAAGGCCAGAAGACTGCCCAAAGATATATGACTAAAAGGCAGAGCTAGGCATTGACCAGTTAAGTCTGACTGAGTCAAAGTTTTGTGTCGATTCTGCTTCCCCCCCAGTCTCCCCTGAGGAAGACCAGAGAGAACTGGATCCCACCTACCTGAGCTCTGGTTATGTTTTCCCATTTCATTCACTCTTAGTTTCCAAGGAAACAGCCCAAAGGCCCAGGTAAGACACAGCCACCCCCAAGGTCTCTCCTGCCACCCCATTTCTGCCTGCCTACACACACCTGCCATCTGAGGGCTTATTCATGAAGCTCCATTTAAGGCCAGTTGGGAAGCCAGCACCTCCACGGCCCCGCAAGCCCGACGTCTTGACCTCACCCAGGATCCAGTCAGGCCCCTTCAGCAGAATCTCCTTTGTCTTGTACCAGTCACCTCGACTCTGGGCACCTTTCAGCCTGGACAGAGTGGGGAAGGCAGTAAGGGGGAGACCCTGCCTCGGGAACCACCAGCCTAAGGGCACCATCTCACCTCCAGTCATGGCGGCCATACAGGTTGGTGAAGATACGGTCTTCATCCTTCAGCGAGCCAAATGAAGTTTTCTTGGGTGCTGTCTGGGGACACAGAGGGTCAGCAGGCCCAGCAGAGCTCTGAGGGCATGAGGGGCCAGGCCAGAAGGTACAGAGTTTTGAGTCCCCCTGATTAGAGAGAGCTGGGCTGGGAGGAGGGCAGGGACCTAAGCCTCAGAACCCTTCATAGCATCATAGCTGCCATCACCACTTAGTAAGCACTTCCTGTTAGCAGGCACGAAACTAAGTTTTCTATATCCAAGACCCCATTTCATCCTCATAACCTTGAGACAGGAACGATTTCCTCCATTTTACAGAAGAGGAAACTGAGGCTCAGAGCAAACTGAGTTTTTGAAAGGCACACAGCCCAAAGGAGCAGATGGAATCTAAGCTCATGTGTGTCCGTGGCCAAAGCCCACACCTGAACTGTGCACAGCACATACTACCCCCCCGAGCCCAGTGCCCAGTGTGATGCTATGTCCATTTACTTGTCTGGCTGTGCTGCTGGACCAAAACTTGGTTAGGCCAAAGCCTTGTGTTACTAAACTCTGCTGGCGACAAGATGCACTTTCGGAAGGAAAAGAAATGCCTCACTGCGGCTGGGACACAAGATGACGGAGGGAGACCCGCTCGGGATAAAACTGTTGAGGAGATAAGGATCTGGAATTCCACGTGACCCAGTGAGGAGCACCCCAGCTGAGGGCTAAGGGGACCTGGCTTCCAGTCACCCAACCCCTTAAAAGCCAATATGGGGATCGGAGCGCTGAACGAAGAATGAGGAGGCGCACGG